TATGCCAACCAAATGCCACATCAGACTTCCCAAATAGAAAAATACTTTTGTGCCTACCTTAGCTCTCATGTATGGCCACCAGTGATAACAACAAACCCTCCTGAAATTATAGCTAATGTTCCCTACAGCTCTACATTTTTCAGCTATTTAACAGGCTTATTTTATTTTCCAAAAATTTTTATGATCCTCATGCAAATATTCAGTCTCTCTCTTCTCTTTCCCTCCCTTCCTTTCTCTTGCTCCTTCTTTCCTTTCTTCCCTCCCTTTCCTCCTCTCTATCTCAAACACACACAATTAAGAACAGTTACTTTAAGCAAGAATCTTAACTGGATGGAACTCATTAACTGGTAGGATCAAACTTTATTTAATACAATAAGGCTAAACGTTGCAAATATACTGTGGAAGTTGGAATGATATGACCATGACAAAACAGAAAGTCAGGCACAGGGTGGCTGCAAACTTGCAGTGAAACCATATAGTAAATCTGAGACTCATAGAAACCAGGGTCAAGGGTTGCCCTTTGACATCAGCTATCCACACATCAAGTCCCATCTAACAGGTAGAGAAATGGAGGCTAAAGCCATAGCCTATTACAATTAGAATTAGAGACTCAGACTCAATAAAAATCATTTCTACTCTGTGAATCTTTGTACCACGTGATTTATGGTAATTGTTTAGATTCAACGCTATCTTGTTTTGTTATATTGAAAATTACTGTGTTCTTCACTGGATCTTGAAGATCCATGAAAGTATCCATTTGCTTTTGGCAAAAAAATTATACTACTTGCCTCAGCCCCAACCTAGTCCCCCAAACAACAAGGCAGTGAGTCTTGTGTAGTCCCAGCATTTGGAAAGAACAAATCTTGAACCAGATTTCATTGTTAGCTATTACTTTCCTGCCCTTGAATCCTTTATTTTCCTAAACATATGCAGTGAAGAACCATCTAGCTCATCCTCAGCTTCCTATAGTTCAATGGCTCACAAAGGAGAAAGGCAACAGAAACAGTGGTGAGGTCAGAGTAAAATGACTCACAGAAGAAGACTGCTGGGAATCTACAATTCTCCCAATAAACAGAGCAGGAGCCAGCCAGAACCCTCAGTATCACCATCCTGCAGAACTAATGAAGACACTTGAATCTGACTTATGCTCTCAGGGAATTTCATATTCTTGTATAGGCCCTGGAATCAGTCTTGCCTTTAAATATTAGACGATAATAGATATGAATAAAAAGACACTTCTCACCTAAAACATACATACAATTATGGAGTCAAAAAGAATTTTAGCCTGGAATTGATTAGCAACATTTCAGACATACTGGGTTCCCTTCCTCACCCCAAAATCCCCATCTCTAATATAGTAAATTTAGTTAATTGATAGGTTTTTAATAATTAAAAATATTTCATATCTGATTATCTTTAAACTATCATTAGAATCAGCTTGAATTAAATTGATTCTGAAACTCCCCTCTTGTCTTCGTCTTATAAGTCCAGTGCTTTACCATGGGAAAGCCAAATAACAGAAGGGGAATCTCTTCTCTTCTTAATAGTTAATAACAGTAAGTGATTTTACCAGATCCTCTAAACACAACACTCAGGACACTGTCATAGAATAGGAAAAGATCCTTTTTTGTTAAGTTGTCGAACTTGAAATTTCATATCTTCAGGGTTAGGTACAATAGGAAAACATCAATTTTTTTAATTATCAAACTTGAAATTTCATGTCTTCATGGTTAGGAGGTATGTAAGATATATAAATGCCCAATCATAGAGTATGTGTTATTCAGATCATCAACTACTCCTCTGGTATGTGAAATAAGCAAAAACTAAGTATTCACACAGGCTCTTAACTAGAGTCACAGGAATTTGTCATGTAACACATGGCTGTACTCTCCTAGAACAAGGAGGTTCTATCCAGGTAATCAGGAAGTAAAATCATGTATAACTATGCCCTTTCTCTGTGTTTTACATAATAGTAACTGATTAATTTCATGTAAGGTAGACCAAGGCAGTTTCTCCAAAATTTTGTCAAACAATCCACTCTGGCAATATAGACAGGATTCCTTGAGAATTAACTGGGTGCTATTTATCCTTGTTTATGAATCACCCCATTGAAAACAGGGCTAATAAATGTTCTACAGGAGGCCAGAAGCCTGTTCCTGTTCCAGTACTGATTTTGACTACTAAAGAACATGAGGCATCAGCTTTAAATAGTAAACAGGGTATACCATTTCAGATTCCATGAAGTGCAGCTCTAAATAGATCTGGTTTGGAAATGCGACAGAGAACACACCACAGTTGGTAGATCAACGTTGAAAGCAAAGAAAAAAACAATGATTATACTCATTAAGTGGGTACCTGTTGACACATCTACTGTCAAGTCTAATTATTTATCTAAACTGTTATTCTTTCTTCATTACTGCCACTAATACCAATTATTTACCACAGTTATTTAAAAATTTCTACCTCAAGCCTAGAGAACATTTATTTCTCTACCTTACAGGCATTATTTGAAAAGTTTATCTCTTTTTGAACAGCCTTCTCTACCAAAAGACAGAGATTAAATTCAGATAGATAGAAAGAGATATTTCTCAACAGAAATTATTGTGGCCTTTAAATGCTTGATTAAAACATCTTTTCATTGTTTCAAGATGGATTTCAGTAGATACGAACATAGTTAACTATTTTTTAAAGCTATTGAATCAGCATTTAACACCTAGAATCCTGGAGAAGGATAATATACTGATGTTTCTAAATGAACAAGTAGTATCTTTATTTTCAAGAGCTTTCAAAAACAATAATGGGAGATTCTTATCTTTTCTGATCTACTATTTTCTGATCTCTTTAACCATAAAAATGAATATGCTAAAAAGAAGCTTTTGCAAGGACATTTTATGAACTATAATTAAAGGAAAAGATGAAAAAACACTGTTCTTTTTTCTCTCTTTTAATAATGTGTTCATTTTTGTAAATGAGAAAAAAAATTAGCCAGACATGTTCCAGCTATTTCAGAGACAGTGAGGAAAATCCTCAGTTATAGGCTAGTCTGGGAAAAGTTACCAAGATTCTATCTCAAGAATAAAATGAAAACAAAGATCTGTGGCATAGCTCAAGTGATAGCACTGCAGTACTAAGGTTCATTCCACAGTGTTTGAGAGAAAGAAACACACACAGAGATCAAGTGAGACAGAGATAGAGAAATGTAGAAAAAATCTAAATAGCTCAAGTTCAATGTTTGGTTTAATTAATCCATATGTCACCTACTTGCTTATCCATGGCATATTCTTATTTAGTATATTTGAAAAATACTAGCTTAAAAATCACATTAGCCTAACAAGTTCCACTCAATTCTAAATTGCTTAGCCCTATGAATATGAAAAATACTAACTAAATTTAGTTGTTTCAAAGGTCCATGTAACCAAAGTCATGTTCTATAGAACATGAACTTTTCTACATGTTTTATAGAACTATTCCATAGAAATAGTATACCGTAGAAATTCATGAAATATTCCCTAGAACAAACATTTATAGTACTCTAAATGATAATATCAAATCTTCTACAAAGTTTTATTCTACAAAGCCTATAGTTAAGAGCATCCTATTAATTCTCATTTCTTTTTGATTAAGGCTTTTGAAAGATTACAAAGAATACAACAGGGATCAATAGGGATACAGATGGACCCATTGCAACAATGAGATGTACAAGATGTTACGTTAAAAACGAACTTTACAACTTTGGTGTGGGGGGAAGGAGGGAAAGGAGATGGGAAGGGATGGGAAAGGGAAACAAAGGAGGAGACAACAATGCTTGATAAGAAATGCACTCATTACCTTGCCCATGTAATTGTAACCCCTCTGTATGGTATTTTCACAATTAAAAAAATTAATAAAAAAAGAAGTACTGATAATAACAAATTAGCTGCATGACAGGATCACATTGTGTAAATTTTTAAATTGTGATTATTCTTTAAATTTTCTCTCCAATTGACCTCCTTCTTTCTGGTATACTCAAGATAAATATATTCTTTGTCAAGACCTTTGTACTAGGCTCTGAGGAGACAGGCACTCAGATAAAATAGTTTCTGGGTTTCAAAAGACTCTGAATCACGTGTGATCTTCTTGGGATTTTCTTTTTCATTAAAAGTTTATACTATGGTTTTTTAATGATTTGCACAACAGATAAGAGACAGTGTTTAATCCTACTAGTATCCTTTGGTCCCTTCAGATACAACTAACATGGGCAGCATAAAATAATGAAAAATATACTCAATGAATGAAAACAGAGGAAACCAGGTAGAAAGACCTACTGGCACATACTAGCTGATTACTCAATAAAACAATGGATGAGCAGGAACTGTGGCTCACACCTATGATCCTTGCTACTCAGGAAACTGAAATCTGAGAATTGAGTTTCCAAGCAGAAAAATCCATAATACTTTTATCACCAATTAATCAGCAAAAAGCTGGAAGTGAAGGTGTAGCTAAAATGGTAGAGTACCAGTCATGAGTAAAAAAGACAAGAAGAGCTCAAGGCTCTGAGTTCAAGCCCCAATACTGAACAAGAAAAGAGAGAAAGGAAAGGAAGGGAAAGGGGAAAGAGAAAAGAGGAAAGGAAAAAGGAAAGGAAAGGAAAAAGGAAACGGAGGAAAGGAAAAAGGAAAGGAAAGGAAGAAAGAAAGAGAACATCTTACTGCATAATATGTAATATATGCTAAAGTTGTCATTCAATCTGAATCTACCACATTTTCTACACATTTGGTATTAAATTTTAAGAAGCAGAAATTAAAATGGGAAATTTAATCAAAAGGACATAAATGAAGGGCAGGTTACTGTGTTGGATATTTTTCAAGTGTTGATGCTCACAAAACACCATTGTATATCTAATTCTGGGAGTAAACCCAGCTGTATACATTATTGATTCAGATGCTTATTAGCATTACAGCATCTTTATGATAAAATAAAATTTAAAAAAAAAGAAAAGATAACAATGTTCTCTTTCTTACCTTAGGTAGCTGACTCCCGGACAGTAGGCACACCGTTCAACCAATTTAAATGCTAGAATCAGCAAATGAAATAGGTAGAAGTTACTCTTGGAAACTAAGCCTATTTTTACTCATTAATATCTATAACCTTCTATTTCTATATAGTGATTACGTGCTTTGTAAAACATTTCCATATTCATTATTTCGGTTCATCCCTCAGCAACCCAATGAAGATTCAGGAAGAGATTATGTTACTCAAGCTCTCAGAGGGATAGAAAGGATGAGAAAGAATTAGCATATCTCTCATGATTACCTTCACAAACATGCCACATCAACTGGTCATTGTTATCCTCATTTTATGGATGTGGAAACTATTCAGGAAAGTGAGTAACTTGCACAAAACTAAATAGTACAGTACAATACAGTACATGGCAGATCACGCGTCTGAAACCAAGGCCTTAGCCACTAGGGCAAGCACTGTCTACCTTAGTTTCTTCTAAGTTATTAGGCTGGAAAAAAAACAACTTGTAAAAGTCGCCCTCTAGATTTGGTGAAGAACAATAAAGCAAAACCAGATAGGTGACTTAATAAGAGGAAGCAGGAAAATTTCGCCAGATTAACAGTCATTCCATTGCCTAGGGCAAGTTACTTAATCCCTCTGACTGCCAATTTCCTGATATGCAAATGAGGATTCTAATATATCATTCACAGCCAAACTGTCCTGATTTAAACTGTCAGTGAGAAGGTTTTCCTATTATTTTATATAGAGAGAGGTAGTAGTAGTTTACAAAACAATACCATATCTTCCTAGGAGCTGATGCTTCTATGATCAAAAGATTTAACAAGCACACAACAATAGAGAATTTCTCTAGAAATTCTTTAGGTATGTCAGTGTTACATCACTCTACTTCCAAAACTAAACAATATTTATCAATGGCTATATCACCCAATCTTACCTAACAATAGACACACTAAGAACTCTTGTTCTAAAAGACAAAGTATCAAAAACTTTTTAAAATCATAGGCAGCACCAGTGCCTCATACCTGCAATCCTAGCTACTCCTGAGGCTGAAATCTGATGGTCGAGATTCAAAAACAGCCTCAGCAGAAAAAAAAGAAAGTCTCTAAGATTCTGTATCTCCAATTAATCCCCAAAAAGCTAAAAGTAGAGCGTGACTCAAGTGGCAGTGCCAGCCCTAAGCTGAAAAGCTAAAGGACAGCACCCTGTCCTGAGTTCAAGCCCAGGTACCGCAAAAAAATTAATAAATAAAAATCAAGTACCATTCAACTTTCCAAAAATAAGAGTCCCTGTATTAAGTGAAAAACTTGATGATGAAATCACACATCATATTAAAGTTTGTGCCTATAATTGGGCCTTCAATTCAGAAAGGTAGAGCAAAGTTCCCAGAAAGATAGAGCAAAGTTCCAACAGAACCAAAAGAACAAAGAGAAATTGTTTAAATATTAGATAGACAACAGATTTATTGAAAAATATAAGACGTGTGGGGAGTTTTATTAACATCCAATTTTTATAGAGAAGTCAAATAAAATTAAGAAAAGAACATAGTTAAAAGATACAAGGCAAGAAATCTGTTCTCCTACCATCATAATCAAAGCCTCAATCAGCTTTTGACATTGTATTTTATTGTATAGTTTGGAAAATATTTGCATAATTATTACATCTCAAATCATCATCACTAGAACTCCAATGAGACTTTATTGCTCTAATTTTACCAATAGAGAAAGCAGACTTTAAATGTTACAAGATTAACTTGAAGCTGACTTTTTTTTAATTCCTGTACTTTGATATCAAAAACCTATATTTACACTTCTATGTATGTAGCTTCTCCATTGGAACATGCTATTTGGAGAGGACAACTTAATTTCAGGAAGCACAAAACAAATATATACATAACCTGTAAAACTCAATTGTCAAAACACTGAAGCACATTTAATTTCAGATCATTTCTCACTAGCAAGTGAAAAGAGAAGGAAAAGAGTTCAGATATGAAGGCTGAACAGAAGGTGAAAAGATTATTTAGCAGAGACAGAAGGCATGTTTGAATACTTTCTCAATTCTCTCCAATAGAGTTCCATGATTGCCAAGTCCTTAGTCAAAGTCTTGAAATACAAGCCATAAAACCAGTGTCTGCACCAAATAATTTTCTTAGAGTCCTTCATCAATCAGTAAGGCTCATCATAAGGCAGGGAAGTACTAACCCTTACAGCCACGACGTGCACCATAGGAAAATAGACATGTCATCATTACCTCCTGTGTGTTTCATAATGCAATGAAGCTTATCATAACCCAAAAAGACACAGGAGAAAGTAACAAATTCCATAGTAGCCAGATAAATCCCATGTAATGAAGCCATAAATCCTTGACACCTCTGTGTATTTTAGGACTGTTTACCCAGAATAGACTGTACCATGGATGCATCCTTTGTCAAGACATCCTTCCTCTCCCAAGAAAAGCATTCTCACCAAGAGTGGCAACTTCGGTCAAAAACAGTCTGTACAATCAAATTCATTCTAGCAAAACTTCCTTCTATTAAGTAAGACTCCCTAAACCTATCTGAAACTATTTAGAGGATATGATTAATCATTTCTGCTGCTTTTGAAAGAAAGAAACAAGACAGAATACATGAAGCCAAGGGGTAGATAAAGACATGAAAAATGATAAGGAATAAAGAAAATATATCAGAAAAAAATAGAGAAAAGATTTGGGAAATGAAGAGAGCAGAGACATCGATTTTAGCAAGTTTTTCATCTATAGGAAAAATATATTTTTTCTAGATTTTGTGTAAATTTTGTCTAAATTTTGTGTGACAACAGGAATACTTATGGTAAGATTCTTTAAATTAAATAACATTATAATTGTAAACATACACGTCTATCCCCAAAAGCAACTGAAATGTTATATTAAAACAAAGGCTTTGTTAAATGAGAAGTATCAACTGTCCTCCACGCCAATCATCAAATACCACAATGCTTTTCTGTATTTTTATTTTTGTTTGGGGCCAGAATAGGAGCTTGAACTCTGAGTCAGAACCCTGTCCCTTAGTTTTTCACTCAAAGCACTTAGATCCAGCTCCACTCTCAAAAATATTTTTAAAATGCACTCTGTCACCCACCACCCTAAAATGTTTCTTAAGAATCAAACATTCCATAGCTTATGAATGATTTGGTTGTCTCATTAAGTAATGTTTGTCAGTATTTAATTGCTTCCCTTCCTGATTTTAATTTCCTTACCTGTCAGCATCGATCAGAGGCACTGAAATCATCTGACATACTGGCTGATTGTGTTGAAATTAATCAGATTTTTTAAAAAGTAAATTGCTTTGGCCTAAAGGTGATTCACAGCTTCTTAGTGTGATATTTCTCAGTGTTCTATCAGTGGAATTTATAATCTAGAAATTAAACATGAGACTTTATGAATCCTAAGTAGAAATATAAGTTGCTTTCAAACCTTCAGTATTGAACCTTACAAAGATTCAATACTTAATTTTTAAAAAAAATTCAAAAAGTGGTCACTGACAATATGTACTTTGGAGCAGAGAAGAGTAAGATGTGCAATTACCTTGGAAACTTTTGGAATAGGTAAGAATCAATTAAAGTTGAACTCACCTTGCATAAAGTAGCTGATAATCTGGTCACTCAATAGTTATTTTATATTGATAATTGTTATCAGCTGTATACATGTGCTTTCATGCAGATAAATGATTTTATTCTTCACTGAAACTCAGTGAAGTGCAAATGGCGTTATTATTAGTAACAGTAGCCAAGTTCTAGTTTGGAGAGAGACAAAGCCAAAGCACAGAGCAATGAAGGGCCTTTTGGTAAGGGACACCTAGAAATGGCAGGCCTGGTCTTATGACTAAAGAAAACCAGACAATATAGCATGATCACTTCAGAAAGGAAGGAGAAACTAATTGCAGATCCTCCACAAATAATTATTCAGTGCTAATTCTAGTGCTAATATCTATCAGAAACAGTACTTAAGACACTCATGCAGGAAACCTTCAAGCACTAAGTCTATTACAAGAAATAAATTAAATGATAAATAGAAAAGTACATTGTAACATGTCTTGGCATTATGAGTTTATTTTTATGCATTCGTTTTGCGACTCCTCCTTGAAATATATAAATATGCATAAATGCAATAAGTGGGTCCCAAAGTGAGCTCCTAATATCAATGCCATGCCTCTCTGAGTTACTCTGCTGGAAATATATAAATATGCATCAAAGCAATAATTGGGTCCAAACGTGAACTCAGAATATTAGTGCCCCCTCTCTTTCAATTACTCCACTGATCCTGAAGCTCTTAAATGGAACCCAGAAGAGTAGAAACTGTTGAATAGTGGCAATGGTGGGAGGACTTTAGGATAATAAATGCAATGTGGACATTGGTTGCCATAAGAGCTTTACAACCAAGCATAGCCAAACACTAATATGGGTCACATGTTTCTTATAAATTGTGAGTTCCTATACATCCATAACTGTCACATGTTTCTTATAGTCTGTGAGTTCCTGTACAACTATAACTATCTCCCATAACTGTGAAGTTTTCAAGTTTAAAAATAGTTTAATGAAGCAAACTTTCTTAAGACTACCATAATATCCATTTGGATATATACATCACTAAATTTTCCACATTATACTATCACTTTTAATTAATCATGTATCTTTAAGAGTGGTACCTTAACAAATCAGAACCCCAAGTCCAGCATTTAGTATTTTATAGGTATTACAGGAAAAACAAGTGAGGGAAAGAAGGAGAGAGGAAGGAGAGGGGAAGGAGAGAGGGAGGAATAGGAAGGGGGAAGATGAAGGAGAGGAGGAGGAGAGGAAACAAGAAGGAGGAGGAGGGAGAAGAGGAGGAAGAAGAAGAAGAGGAAGAGGACAAGGTGAAGGAGGAGGAAGAGGAAGGGGAAGGGTTGAGGCAGAGGTAAGAAGAGGAAGGAGGCCATGGAGGAAGAGAGAAAGGGAAAGAAGGAGGGAGACAGAGAGCATGAGAAAGGGAAGGGAGAAAAGGAGGGAGAGAAGGAGGAAGAGAGAGAGGGAGGGAGGGAA